ATGTTAAATATCACTCTTTGGCAACTATATAGAGGTTATTTAATGGGAGGGATGGGATATGAATTTTATTCCGAGGAAAATATCATATTGGCCGGTGATATTTTTCGAGGCTTATATCATATTTTCTCGAGGAAAAAATCGCGACCATCAATAACCTATTTATAGTGCAGTCAGTTATGACAATAAAACCCTTGAATTGCACTTGCTATATATAAAGCACAGTTTTTTGACCTAAGTATCATTATTGCTTATATTTTTGATATCTAACAAAGTGGTGTTGAAAATTGGCCCCAGTTGAAAAAAGCAGTCCTCGAAAAATTTGCATATTTACATTGAGCCCCATGTTAATTTATCAATCTTCAAAAGACCCCCTGCAGTACAGTTCTTTAGAAATAAAGCCCATATTCCCAGGATGTTACAATATCCTGATTATCTTCAAAATAAAAAGTGTTACATTTTTTATTTTTCCTATTTCCAAGGATATTGGCGTTTGAATTTCGGAAATTCACCATTGGCTGCCATTATAAACGGCTATCAATATGGCTTTGCTAAAGTGTCCTTTTCTCAAAAAGTCCACTGTGAAATTTTCTAATATTGCAGATTTCTATAGTTGATATATTGATTTTAAAGAAATCCAGCAGGTACATTTCTAAAAATTTCTAATTTTTGATATATTTAGTCATTAAAAACTATAAAAACCTATATTGAGCCCTATGTTAATTTATCAATCTTCAAAAGAACCCCTGTAGAACAGTTTTAGAGTAATAATGCTCATTCTCCTAGTATGTTACAATAACATGATTATCTTCAAAATAAGAAGGGGTTAATTTTTTTCTTTTACCTAATTCCAAAGATATTGACGTTTGAATTTTGGAAATTCCCCATTGGCTGCCATTATAAACGGCTATCAATATGGCTTTGCTAAAGTGTCCTTTCTCAAAAAGTCCACAGTGAAATTTTCTAATATTGCAGATTTCTATAGTTGATATATTGATTTTAAAAAAATCAAACAGGTACATTTCTAAAAATTTCTTATTTTTGATATATTTAATAGTTAAAAACTATAAAAACCTATATTGAGCCCCATGTTAATTTATCAATCTTCAAAAGACCCCCTGCAGAACAGTTTTAGAGTAATAATGCTCATTCTCCTAGTATGACATGATTATCTTCAAAATAAAGGGGCTAATTTTTTTCTTTTACCTAATTCCAAAGATATTGATGTTTGAATTTTGGAAATTCCCCATTGGCTGCCATTATAAGCGGCTATCAATATGGCTTTGCTAAAGTGTCCTTTTCTCAAAAAGTTAATTTATCAATCTTCAAAAGAACCCCTGCAGAACAGTTTTAGAGTAATAATGCTCATTCTCCTAGTATGTTACAATAACATGATTATCTTCAAAATAAGAAGGGGTTAATTTTTTTCTTTTACCTAATTCCAAAGATATTGACGTTTGAATTTTGGAAATTCCCCATTGGCTGCCATTATAAACGGCCATCAATATGGCTTTGCTAAAGTGTCCTTTTCTCAAAAAGTCCACTGTGAAATTTTTTAATATTGCAGATTTCTATAGTTGATATATTGATTTTAAAAAAATCAAACAGGTACATTTCTAAAAATTTCTTATTTTTGATATATTTAGCCGTTAAAAACTGTAAAAACCTATATTAAGCCCCATGTTAATTTATCAATCTTCAAAAGACCTCACGCAGAACAGTTTTAGAGTAATAATACTCATTCTCTCAGTATGTTACAATAACATGATTATCTTCAAAATAAGAAGGTGTAGAGTTTTTTCTTTTACCTGGTTCCAAAGATATTTGCCTTTGAATTTTTTAAAATACCCCTTGGCTGCAATTATAAACCGCTATCAATATGGCTTTTCTAAAGTGTCCTATTTTCAAAAAGTCCCTAATGGAATTTTCTTATATTGTAGATTTGTATGGTTAATAAGTTGTTTTAAAAAAAATTGAACAGGTACCTTTCTGAAAAGTTCTTATTTCTAATATATTTAGCCATTTAGTTGAAGATTGATAAACTAACATGGGGCACCATATATTTTTTTATTTTTTAATGGCTTAATATATTAAAAATAAAATAAATGCTGAAATGTGCCTATTTGATTTTTTCTAAATCAACATATTAATTATAGAAATCTACAATATTAGAAAATTTCATGGTGGACTTTTTTGAGAAAAGGACACTTTAGTAAAGCCACATTGATTGGTGTTTATAATGGCAGCCAAATTTTTACAAAATTCAAACGTCTATATCTTTGGAACTAGGCAAAAGAAAAATGTAATCCTTTTTATATTAAGAGAGTTGTGTTATTGTAACATCCTAGGAATATAGACTTATCACTTTTGAACTGCTCTGCAGGGGATCTTTTGAAAATTGATAAATTATCACTGGGCCCAATATAGTTTTTAACTGCTAAATATATCAAAAATAAGAAATTTTTAGAAATGTGCCTGTTTGATTTTTTAAAAATCAATATATCAACTATAGAAATCTACAATATTAGAAAATTTCACAGTGGACTTTTTGAGAAAAGTACACTTTAGCAAAGCCATATTGATAGCCGTTTATAATGGCAGCCAATGGGGAATTTCCAAAATTCAAACGTCAATATCTTTGGAATTAGGTAAAAGAAAAAAATTAATCCCTCTTATTTTGAAGATAATCGTGTTATTGTAATATACTAGGAGAATGAGCATTATTACTCTAAAAGTGTTCTGCAGGGAGTCTTTTGAAGATTGATAAATTAACATGGGGCTCAATAAAGGTTTTTACAGTTTATAACGGCTAAATATATCAAAAATAAGAAATTTTTAGAAATGTGCCTGTTTGATTTTTTTAAAATCAATATTATCAACTATAGAAATCTGCAATATTAGAAAATTTCACAGTGGACGTTTTGAGAAAAGGACACTTTAGCAAAGCCATATTGATAGCCGTTTATAATGGCAGCCAATGGGGAATTTCCAAAATTCAAACGTCAATATCTTTGGAATTAGGTGAAAGAAAAAAATTAACCCCCCTTATTTTGAAGATAATCATGTTATTGTAACATACTAGGAGAATGAGCATTATTACTCTAAAACTGATCTGCAGGGAGTCTTTTGAAGATTGGTAAATTAACATAGGGCTCAATATAGGTTTTTATAGTTTTTAACGGCTAAATATATCAAAAATAAGAAATTTTTAGAAATGTACCTGTTTGATTTTTTTAAAATCAATATATCAACTATAGAAATCTCCAATATTAAAAAAATTCACAGTGGACTTTTTGAGAAAAGGACACTTTAGCAAAGCCATATTGATAGCCGTTTTATAATGGCAGCCAATGGGGAATTTCCAAAATTCAAACGTCAATTTCTTTGGAACTAGGTAAAAGAAAAAATTTAACCCTTCTTATTTTGAAGATAATCATGTTATTGTAACATAATAGGAGAATGGGTATTATTTCTCTAAAACTGTTCTGCAGGGGGTCTTTTGAAGATTGATAAATTAACATAGAGCTCAATGTAAATGAGCAAAATTTTCGAGGCCTACTATTTTCAACTGGGGCCACTTTTCAACACCACTTCGTTAGATATCAAAAATATATGTATTAATGATACTTATTTCAAGAAAATGTTGTTTTATATATAGCAAGAACAGCTAACTGACCCCACTATTATGTCATAATATTTTTTTAAACTTATTCACTTTCAAGTTCGATGTTTTCATTACCCAATGATGGTTGCATAAAATGATACAATTTGATATATCATATAACATTTTCATCTTTTATTAACACGTTTTTAAATAGAACGAGAAATGTAAAGATCAAGAGAAATTCCCGGGAATATTTTTGATACGGGATCTAATACTAGATTTTGGCTGATACGGGATCAATACGGGATCTGATATGGGATTTTTAGAATATCAATTCTTTTCCCTAGTGTTTAATTCCCAGGGAAAACATGTTATTATGGAATAAAACACGTTACTGACTCATAGTACTGCCTTAAAAACGCGTACCCCTGTCGATTATATTAGACATTATATTTAGCTTTAAAATTACGGCTTTTATGAAATAGTTATATGAAATAGCCTAGTAATGGTATATAATGATGCCCCATTGCCATTCATTGTGTAAATGTGTGTATGTATGTTCTCCAGTCACCCCTTCTAGAATAATGGGACTCAAACCACACAATTAGGCACAGAGTCAAATTAAAGGTCGGGGTCTGGTTTCATTACTAGATCTCTCTTGAGACCCCATGTTGGAATGAATACCCGGGAAAATCGGGAAACCATTCATTCGGTGTAATCCGGGACAATCTGGGGCAATTGGTGAAACCAGGGGTCAAACAAGAGCAAGGACAGCCTGGAACCGATAACGTTTAATTGCATTAAGACACTTTAATAGATACCGAATTCCCCGATTTATGTTTTCCAAAATCTAAAGGCTACCAAAAAGTGAGATTATTAAGTTGAATTTTGAAAACTAGTAATATGACAACAATGCCAAGATCTTACGACTGAACAAACGATGCTGCATTTGCCGTTATTCCAGGTGAGCTAAGCAAATTAGTCCAGTCTAAATTTTCACAAAAGCAAAAGGTATTCTCACCGTCACCGTGTGTTTGTATCTGCTGGACCTTGGCGGGATTTTCAGTATTCTTTTGACCATTTTTCAATGGCTCCCTCAATGTTACAACGAGTCTATTCCAAAATGTATAAAAATCCACAGTCATTTAAATATTTTCGATAGCACATAACCAATATGAGATGTAAATGATTAAAATGATAACACCATATTTGAAATACAGTTGCAATTTTTGCACATTCCGTAAATGATTGATTTCAGTCTCTGATTGGACGATAGTAATCAGGTCGATGTGAACGCACTGAACGAAACAGGAAAATTGTAGTATTTAGAAGATGGTGTTTAAATTACGTTTTAATCAACTTATGTAATCCAGTCTCAGCTAGACCTGTCGTATTAATACTGCTGTTCAAGTTCTCCTTTAAGTTTAAATGTAAAGTCTGGTTAACTAGCATTGTTATGTTATTCCCTTTAGTCAACAACTTTTCCCAGTCATTTTTCAGTAACCAGTTTGTATTTTCAGACTTACGTCTAGTGTGCCATACATAATGTTTCTTTCTTTTATAACACGTAATTCGGCAGGAATCTTTTGCAGATAGGGTTCTCACTAAAAGTCCTTCTGTTGTCATGCCGACTATGTTTCCAGGGTTATTAAATGGTTGTGTAGTGTTGTTCCATTTGATTCCACTACCAATGAGTACCTCATTGACCATTACTTGATCATCAACAGCATTTGCAGTTAATGCGACTGCTTCACACATATCGTCCAAGAAACCCCAAAATGAAGCTGAAAAAAGTCCAATTATATAAAGAATTAGTTTGTATGAGAAGGAAAGATATAATTTCTAATTAAGGTACCACATCAACATAGATACACGCAAAATTTATTATGCCATATAAATGACATATCTCTGCATATTTAAATGCACCTCGACTAGTAACTGGCGAGAGTTTTCGGATGTCCACTAGAGGATCCAGGGGGGGGGGGCTCCAAGATTTTTTGTAGGACCTTTTTGGGCATTCAAATAATGGGCCTTAACTTTTCCCACCTTTGGCCCTATTTTGGTTTAAGGGGCTGGATCCGCCAGTGAAGTCAGAGGGCCACTTGTTTTATTTTATTTTTTTTCTGAAAGGTGACTTTTTCTGCATCTATTCATATACGTTTGTTTCTATTTATTTTGTTTTTATTTGTCTTTTTGGTTTATGTGGGTTTCTTAGGGAGTATTTTTTATTGTTACACATTTTTGTTTATTTTTTCTAATTAACTAAAAATAGAATAGTACATCTAATCAATACCATGGTGATTACTTTGGTTGCTTACCTTCATGTACCACTAACAATAACTATCTTACCATTTCTTGATCTCATCTTAGTTGGGGGATAATTCATGGGTGGTAAATGGGGGAGGATTGGCGGGCGAGATTCACTCAGATAACAACCTGCTTTCTCCTTGTATCAAGAAATGAATGGAAAATGGCGTTCTTCTGCGCATGTGCGTTGACCTACATTCAACTCTACTTCCTAGTAACCGATTTGTTTACATCAAATTCTGACAATCGCAACAACAATTAACTTCTCCCATAAAACACACATAAAACCAATTACTTTTCAATTAATTGACTTTTATCACCTGAGGATGATAATAATTATTTGGAGTCAATTTTGTATTTTCAGCATGCCAAATATTACCCCTTCAAAACTAACTTTTCATTGTAACAGCTTAGCTGTAAATACCTGGAGATGGCCATCAGAGACCGATAGGAGCTAACATTACTGGGAATGTCACACACGGGAAGTTAATAAATGCTTAATTTGCCTATTGATTCTATGAAAAAAGGCTATTAATGTCCAAAAGGACACAGCTAAGGATAAATGAATAAACACAAGGAGCACACACGTCTCGAACTCGCAACCTCGTGGTTACGGCGCCCAATCGCCTATAGCCTGAACATGCTGGCGCTCAAGCATTCTCGGCCAACTCGACAACCCCAAAAAAGGTTGTTTTGTTGGTCGATCTGACTAGAGGCAGCTGCTTTCAAGGCTCGAACACACCAGAGGAAGCACAACTGACATTTCCTACCCTTTTATCCCTTTGACATTTGCGCCTATATATTCCTACAAATAGTTATTTCAGCATTTATTATTTTCCCTAATATTTGACTAATTTTGGGATGTTTCATGTATTCATGTTTAAAGTGCCAATTCGGTAATTTCCATTTATTTTTCTTTACACAAATAGATTCAATGGGTATTGGTTGGTAGAAACAGTATACCAACAGACTCACAACTTCATCTGATTGTCTTTCAGTGCCAAAATAAGATTTCCCTGAAAAAAACATGACGTCACGATCAGAACCAGTTATGGATTTTAATCCGCAATGCGTTATGCAACTCGAATGTAAATTCAAAAGTGTTCATGTTATACTGTGTTCTGATTGGCCAGAAAGGAGTAATACTTCTCAAAATCATCTCATGGTTAAATGCCTTTTGGTTGTAAGATTTTAAACAGCACTGAGTTATGTAACAGGATCAACTCAACGTGTATAGTTGCTATACTGTATTCTGACTGGCCAGAATGTAATTCTGCATGACTAGCTTTGTGTAAACGCACCACAGGGTCGGAAGCTCTAATTGAGGTATTATATTTTTCGCTCATCGGAGGAAAAATCGTGGCTCCAAAGTAGTCAAAGTTGAATCATTTCCGTACTGCATTGAATGCAGTGGCAATCAATTACACTGACACTTTATAAGCACGTTCGGAGATCATACACTCTAGCAAAATGTTCAAAACCTGTTCTGATCGTGATGTCATGATTGGCACTTGACATTGGGTTCCCGATTTTGAACATCAAATTTCACATTTATAGAAAGATTTACAAGAACGGTACATGGTTTGACTTTTAAGTGGTATTTACTTCATTTAAAACATGTATAAATTGAATTTTGACTCCATGAGCATCGCACAGACACTTTAACTTGTCTCAAACTAACCCAACTTTTAGAATAATCATGTACATATTCTCAGAAGTTAAAATAATATCCGACTTCTATTTTGACATTTGAAATTTGCTTGATAATTGAAGACAATATTTATATTTTGACAGTTCAAAAAAGTTTCTTCGGTTAGAAATTCGATTTATTCTCTCAAAACCATCTACCAGCTACCAGATTGAAGTTCTTATATTTCAGACTTGTCCTTTTTTGATAAGTGTTATATCTGGCGTGGGTAGTTACCCTTTTTGTAAGGTGCTTAGACAACTTCCTTTAACTCTGTTTAAAACAACCCATCTTAAATATTGTATGTACATTATCAAAAAATGATTACTTCATCGAACTTGTATCTCATAAAAATCAAAGATAAAAAGAGAAAATAAAAGAATCCATTGGTTTACTTAGGAATTTAAAGATATATAGCTAATTAATTTTAAACTAAGGCCTTTTCATAATTCTTGAATCTATTTTCCCAGCAAAGACAAAATGCTGTAGTGAATTCTCACCTTGACGATTCAGCTCCTTGCGGAAAAGAACATTTCCCGTGTTTAAAGTAAAGCCCCATTCTTTCTGAACATTCTTTGGTGATTTGTTAGTTATAGAGGAAACAATACTTGCGTTGGGATAATTTCTCTCAACATGACCTATAGGATCGTGTAGAACAAACGCATCCGTATCAAAGTTGAATACATCGTAGCCATAAAAGATCAAGAGTCGCCAAAGGATAAGTCTGTAAGTCCAAATCACAAGTTTTCGATTTTTCTGAAATTTTGTCGTGTTAGTGACGATAAAAATTGTGTTTATGGACACTTTTGAAAGTATAGGGTAAGCTTTGATATCATCCGTCGCAACAATAAGATTATGAAGCTCCATTTTGGCGATAAACTTAGCCAGCAACCACCAGTTTAGAAGCTCTTCCAATCGTCCTGAATCTGCATAGAGAAGAATTATTGGCCCATATTTTGAATCAACAAGTGTCAGGGCCTTTTCAATATTAGCAATACTTTTTTCAAAATTTATGAACACGTTTGTTTTGCTATAACAAGGTACATTTGAGAAATTTTGTGAATTAATAAATATTTTCTTGCGTTCATTCCAATTTCTGGAATTGAAGTATTGCATCAAAAGTCCATTTTTGTTTGGCGATCCCTGACTTAATTTTGAAATGGTGCGAAGAGCTGCTAACTGTTCTGCCGTCTGCAATGTTCCAGAACCCGTGCCATATTTCTTATTCTCATCACTCCTTTGGTCATTTGTATTTCGTGTTTGATTGTTAATTTTGTTTTTCACCATTTTTGTTGTTTGTCTGTCATTTGTAATTCGTTTAAATACATGTAAATACGCGAACAAGAAGAACTGTACCAATACTAGTGGAACCAAGATACTTGCAATTATATACTTTTTTCTTCTCGATATATTCGATATCATGTTTAAATTACTTATATAAGTGCGAAGATAAATGCTCGAAACAATGGCGAAGGCCTTTTTAAAATCCGTTTTTGCACCGATTAAATCACAAACTGTTATTGATTATGTTATGCCAACATATGGATGAATTATAAGTTCATACATATGTACATTTGCATTTATCTAATGCAAGTAAAATACTATAATGAAGTGTCACATACTTGCATACAACATGTCAGATACTTGCTTTAGATAATTATGTCAGTTTGGTTTCATTTTTGTAACATGTCCCGGACCTACAATTGAGCTATTGGAATAACTCATTTATCTGTTAGTCTGTTTATGTGCATCTGTCTATCAACAGTACTGTTGTCACCCTTTGGCAATAGACTCGATGAAATAATCTTGATTTACGCCAGTAGCTCTAATGTATTATATGTCATTCAAATATCTCAAGGGAGGTGTATTAAAATCTCAAAAAGTAGGTCAGATTGGGTCAAAAGTAGGTCATAGTAACAAAAGGATGAGGTTTTTGCGACTTTTTTTCTTCTTTTTCAATTAAAAACAACATATAATGTTTTCTTAGCCAGAAAAAGATACAAAATGTAATTGATGTATATAATATCTATATTTGCGGACAACAAAAAACGTGGGTAAATACCTCTCCTAGATCCGGAGATAGGAAATTTGGTCGAAAAGGACAAGTCTCGGTTCGGAAAAAAGTCTCCCGGACTAATATTTTTTATGAAAAATATAGAAATATCACCAAAATTAAATTATGAATATTCAAAAGAGGACATTTAAATCTACAAGATGTAAAATATCGCAATTGTCCAAAGCAGAGAAGATGGTGAAGTACACCGATTCAATAAAATACAAGTCTCGATTTCGAGAATAAAGTTCATCAGTGTATTGCGCTAATAATCTTTTATTGAGAATCTAGAAATATCACCAAAAGTAAATTATAACTTTTGAAAAGAAGACATTTAAATCTATATTATGTACAAATTCAAAGGAGTGGTATCGATATGGAGAACTTTTTGAACACACGTTTCTTTTAAACCAGTCATAAAAATCTCAAATTTTAACACATCGTCAATTTAATGGTCATCTTTTAAATTGTAACAATATAATTTGAAAAATATACATAAACTTTCATCTATATTGTTTTAGAAAACACATCAAACACTTGTTTTGTTCTTGGTATCATGTTTCCAGAGTGAAATGAAACATCTTTCCGTACGTCATTGGAACAAAACGACATAACACAACATTTTTAGGTCTCTCAATATCGTAATTAATTATACAAAGGAAATTTCATTAGATTAAAAAATACTTTGTTAATGCAATAAAAAAGTTCATCTTGATTTTTATCTATTTTGTTGGGATTT